CACAAACAGGAACTACCGAGAGAACATAATCTACCCCATGCCTGGACAACTCAACATTCTCCAGGTCTATGCACCTTGAAAAAAAATTCACTCGGAAGCCTTGGGATCTGATTTGTCTTGATATTTTATTGTGTTTTATCCAAGTGCCTTGGTTCTCCTAGAAGCAGGATGACTTCAGAAGGGCAGCTTTTTGGTTACAGCTGAAGGAGCTTCGGACGAGGGAGGAGAGTGACTTTGTCCTTTTGCTTGTTAACATAAATGTAACCTTTGCTTCATTTGTGGGACCAACGTTCTTTAATGTATCTTGGGTTGGATACTGAGAATTTTCTCAGTAGGCTACCTTTGGAAATAAGCTCGGGGCTGAATCACAGCAATTACAAGCCTGAGATGAAAGGAGCCACATGTACACGGAGGCCTTTTAAAGACCCAGCCAGGCTTCATTTCCTCTCACGATGGGAGGCTTTGGGTCTCTACTGACTAGGATGTAACCACAACAAAACAATATCTCTCTGTGTGGGTTTTAAAAATAAACTGAAGTGATTTGTATGTACAAATGGCATCTTAGAAGAAGGAGTGTAGAAAAGCCAAGTTAAAAAAGAAAACAAACAATGCTTGAAATCCTCCCTTTTCTTTTCCTACAGGTTTTCTTCCTCAAAACTGTTGTCTGGAAAACTCATCTACTGTCGCATTGCATACTGAGCAGCGCACTCACCCTGAGTTTTGCTTGGGATTCTAATGCTATTATTATAAATAGTATTATAGATAGGCTATAGCACTGGGCCTTCACAAGGATAACTAAACGCCTCCAGGCTTTTAAAAGGAAACACGGGGAATTTGCATTTATTGTCTTGGCTGCATTATTGGCAACATAAAGGATTCTTTGGAGGCTTGAGAGGTGGGGTCAGCCATGTCATTTGCATTTTAGGAGAGCTTAATCAACTGATTAATGACACAGAAGAATGTATCCACTCACCTGATGTTTTTCATTTGCATAGTTTATCAGTAGGAGATTTTTTTCTGATAATTTGCATACTCTACTGCTTTCACAATTAGGATAACGATGAGAAACCATCAATCTCTATAAATAATGGCCACTGGCTAAATCTAAATACAGAAGGGGAAATTAGAATTTATCTAGACCACTGACGTTACAAATATATATTTTTAATTATTATAATTGCTACTTAGCAGAAATTGACCAAGTCATACAGGCTTCACACATTGAATTATTTAGACTTTATAATTATCTTTAAATAGATTTTATAATTATCTTTAAATAAATACATCTAAATAAATTATTTAGATTGTATAATGATCTTTAAATAGAGTCTTATTCCGAGTAACTTAGGGCGATTGAATCATTAGGTCAAGAAATTAGTTAAGGTATAGTTTATATTCAAATTCAGTTTGTATCTGAATGTGCTTTTTACTTGTAGAATCTCCAAGTATGTGAAAAGTTATAAGAAGGCATTTACATTAAAATGATATGGAGGACAGTATTGCATAAATCTAAAATATCTAATTAAAAAATAAAAATTTCAGCCAATTGCCAGTTATTCTGTCTATACAAATATCAGAATGCTGACACACAAATGAATATCCCTCCATATATGTATATAATTAAGTTTATAATTATCAAATAATGTTTTTGAAATAGTTTTATTTATTTATTTATTTATTTTAATTTTTTTTTCAACGTTTTATTTATTTTGGGGACAGAGAGAGACAGAGCATGAATGGGGGAGGGGCAGAGAGAGAGGGAGACACAGAATTGGAAACAGGCTCCAGGCTCTGAGCCATCAGCCCAGAGCCTGACGCGGGGCTCGAACTCCCGGACCGCGAGATCGTGACCTGGCTGAAGTCGGACGCCTAACCGACTGCGCCACCCAGGCGCCCCTGAAATAGTTTTAAAGGAATAAGTAATGGCATGAAAAGTCAGTCCACCTTTAAAATTCTGCTTTCATTTCTGATGTTCTGAAATACTTTTAAATATAGGAAATAAAAGGTACTTTGATAAAACTCAACAAAACATCAAGACAGATCAGATCCCAAGGCTTCCACATGATTTTTCTTTTTCTTTTAGGGTGGATATGCCTAGAGAAAACTAAATTGTCCAGTCATGTGGCACATTGTGTTCCCCCCGCCAGATTCAAGCATCTGTGACTGTGTTGGCCCGGAATGCCTTTCCCACAACCCCAACATTTGACTGCTAAGGAAGAACTTTCTTCCAAGACTGGGTTAAGAGATTTGACTTGTTTCCCCACAACAGGTAGATGATTCTCGTTTGCCAGCTGGGTTGCAATTATTGCATTATAATAATGTAACTATGATATTGTGTCTTCCAGAACTGACTTTATAAATCGCTGTATTTAAATGAAAATTTTTCTTAATGTTTATTTTTGAGAGACAGAGAGATAGAGCATGAGTCAGGGAGAGGCAGAGAGAGAGGGAGGCACAGAATTCGAAGCAGCCTCCAGGCTCTGAGCTGTCAGCATAAAGCCCAACGTAGGGCACGAATCCACAAGCTGTGAGATCATGAGCTGAGCCGAAGTCGGAGGCTTAACCGACTGAGCCACCCAGGCACCCCTTAAATCGTTGTACTTTGAAATGAAAAATTTTACTAATTCGTAATCTTCTTTGAGTCAAAGGAATGTAGGTGCATGAAAAAAGAATTTTCTCACAAAATTTTATGTACCTTTTTGAGTAGTTCCAATAAAAAACTGAATTTTGATTGAACACAAACTTTCTTTTAAAAACATGTTCAGGAATACTATTGACTAGTTAAAAATACTCTGGACAGTCTGAAAAAGTGAAAATGATGTTTTCAAAGGTTCCCGTTTTCCTTTATTTAAAAAAAAATTTGTAATGTTTTATTTTATTTTTGAGAGAGACAGAGTGTGAGCAGGGGAGGGGCAGAGAGAGAGGGAGACACAGAATCAGAAGCAGGCTCTGGGTTCTGAGCTATCCACCCAGAGCTTATGTGGGGCTTGAACTCATGGACTGTGAGATCATGACCTGAGCTGAAGTTGGATGCTTAACTGACTGAGCCACCCAGATGCCCCACCTGTTTTCCTTTATTAAAATTGATAAAGTAGAGCTAATTTTTTAATTGAGTTATAATTGGCATGTAACAATTTATTAGTTTCAGGTGTACAACATAATGATTAGATATTCTATATATTGTGAAAGATCACTGCAGTAAGTCTAGTTAACATCTATCGCTTTACATAGTTTTCAAAATTTTTTCTTGAGCAGACTTCTAAAATTTACTCTCTTAGCAACTTTTAAATGTGCAAAACGGTATTATTAACTATAGACACAATGGTGTACATTACATCCCAATGACTTATTTATAACTTTTTTTTCAATATATGAAATTTTTTGTCAAATTGGTTTCCAATTTGTAACTTTTGACAAACTTCAAAATAGAACTTATGAAAGAATAATCGTAAACACTTGTGTGTTTTTGTTTCAAGTGGAAATATCGGATGGGTTCACTAAATGTCTAAAATCTCCATATAAAATCACCAGTATTAAGATATTTTATTCAGTCTACCTGGTAAAAGTAAGCAATACAATAATGTCTTCTGGAAATTAAATAGAACTCTTGTTTTCCCCCACACCATTTTCTTCCTCCAAGTTTTCTGGTGTTGGTGAAATGGCCAATGTCTTACCCAGTTGCTGAAACCAAACTCTAGGCAGCATCTTTGATTCCTCCCCTCCCCTACTGTCCATGCAGTAGGATACTCCCTTTTGTCGGTCTACTCTCCTTGGCACATCAAGATCTCTGAGGATCCTGATGGTTTTTTGCTGGTGTTCAGCTCCTAGCTCAAAAGCCATCCCCCCCAGTGAGTAATTCCCAAGCATTCAATCTGAATTAGCGCTCTTGCCCCTCACAGCCCCGTGGGGCGTCAGATCAAGTCGCTCTGTTCTACTTTCTTCACATCTTTCAGCAACACCTGGTATATTGCTCACTGCTGTGCTTACTTGTACTGTTTTCTCTACCAGAACATAAGCCCTCAAAGGTAAGGACATTTTCTTTCTTGCCTTTGTACCTAACAAAATGGTTGCATATAATACACACTCAAAACTGTATTTCAAATGAATATTTGAAAACAGATTTTTAAAAATTTGTCTCATCCGGGATGGCTGCGTGGCTCAGTGGGTTAGGCATCTGACTTCAGCCCAGGTCGTGCTCTCGCAGTTTGTGGGTTTGAGCCCCGCATCAGGCTGTCTGCTGTCAGTACACAGCCTGCTTCGGATCTGCTGTCCCCACCTCTCTCTCTGCCCCTCCTCCCTGTCAAAAATGAATAAACATTGAAAGAAAATAAAATAAAAGTTCTCTCATTCAATAAGTACCTCATTTGTGCCTAGTATTGTGCTAGGACATAAATTGAAAGACAAACATTTTATCACTTTCTACTAACTTGAAAAAAATTACATAACTTGGCATTCTTCCCTGTGCCTCCACCCCTTCTGTTTCCATCTCTCCTCCCAGGGACCTTACTCACAGGAAGAGAGAATGGTGAAATGGAATAGCACGGAGTTAGATAGGAGTTTGTGACTTCCAAACTGTGTGATCTTACACCAGTTGTATTGACTCATAGATGCTGTGTTTCCTCCCTTGAAAAACTGAAATAATTGTTTCTATTTTAGTGGTTGTTGTGAAAACTGAATATAATGATGAATGTGTGTAATAAATATCTTAGCACATTATTGGCTTTCAATAAATGGAAGCTTTTATTGCTACTATCTCATGAAATGATCTGAGGTCAGTCATGCACCAAGCCAATTTACTTTTGAATAGTGCTTGCATAAGCCCAATTTCTGAGCAGGTAATTTGGCAACTAGCAAGCATACTAAAATACAATACGTATCATATTTTTAATGGTCTGACTCCTTTCCTTTCTTTAAGAATAAAGCAAGAGATAATTGTGACTCTGATTCCTGTTGTTTCTTGATGTGGCTGCCAGATTGCATGGCAAGCCCGTAGGCGGGAGTCTGTCAGTAATGGTCCAAGTGAGTAATAAGGTGCAGTCATGTCAGAAGCGCAGAGCATCATCTCATAGTTGGGCGGTGTGAGGTCAAGTGGCTGGCTAAGAAGGTAGCATTCTGTAGATTCAAAGCAGAGAGAAAGAAAAATAGTTCTTTCCACCCAGGAGGCAATATGAAGTATACCTGACTGCATGTTATTTTAAAAAATACTCTGGAGCTAAGAGAATATGTCTCTGAGGCGAAAAGACGGATCAACTATGGGAACTTAAGTCAGCAGCAAAGAAGTAAATTTTATCATAAATGATTAAATATCCGACAGGACTAATTTTATTTATTGCTCGTTAGATAGTATCTTTTTAATCTAAAACAAGCTCCTATAATAAGTTAGGTGCTTTGGCAAAAGGATCTAAAACACTTTCAGTTCCACTTCTATTTAGGCTTAAATCACCCTCTCCTTTACTTCAATTCTTGATTAGAACTCTTAACGAAATTACCGTGTCTGGTATATACATCACCAGCTCCGCTGGAGATACCAACACCTGAAGGCAAGTGTGTATATGTGCTTGCGTGGGAGTATATACGTGCCTGCGTTTATGTTTTCATGCACGCATACGGTGTTTCCTGCAACTACTGCTCTGACCCTGGGGGAGACCTTGAATCCTCTTCCCTTTTACATAACTGAGATAACCAGAGGTTAATCTGCCTCTTCATCTCTTGCTCTAACTGGGACTAAAGCAGAGCTTGGGGACCCACCGTGTTTGAGGGGTTGCAGGGGAACCTGGGACTCTGCTGTTGTGTGAAATGGCCCAATGCTGAATTAGTTCTATATTGACTAAACCCAGTAGAATACTTTGATATACGAACTCATCCAGGTCTATTTGTAGTTGAATCCAATCGGAGTCAATATTGAAGCTGGTTTCTTAGAGCTACCTTATATCTTCCTTGGAACCACCCCAGAAATATAAGACACCTACAGATTGAAGGGGTCTCAGTATAACTACAGCAGAAACAAACTCCTTAGGCTTCCTAGAGCAATTCATACCAAATCCCTCCAAAGGCAATGGTAGGGGGATAAGTTTCAGAATACTTTCGGCCCCATGAGAATCATCTATAACTATGCTGTCAAAGATGGTAGCTACTAATCCTCAATCTCTATTAGAATTACATTTTAAATTAATTAAAGTTAGATAAAATAAAAAAATTTAGTCCCTCAGTTACATAGACTACAATAGTCACATGTCTATGTATTAACACAGATGTAGAACATTTCCATAAGAGCAAGACCAAAGTTTGGGGTAAACTTCAAAGTTAGTGCTTCTTGCGGGCTTCCAATAATCCTTTGTTGAACAGTTGAGTAATTCATCGATTTTCTACAACTGCTCAAGCACCTGCTGCCCCTTCTGTGATGCTAATCAGGCTTCTAACTACTCATGCAATATCTCCATTAAACTGTGAGCTCTCTGAAGGCAAGCGCTATGTCCGTCTAGTTTATCATTGTATCCCTAACATCTGGCATGCCTAGAACATAGTTATTGTGCAATAAATATTTGTTGAATGAATGAATGAGTGAATCCTAACCTTTCTTGTATATATCACTCATGGATAAAATGCCAGTTCCTTGGGGTTAGTGTGAGGACTAAATGAAATAGCATAAATAAAGTACCTGGCACGTGCCTGACACTTAATAGGTGTTCAAATACCACTTCCTCTCTCACTCTTTGATTAATAGAAGCCTGGGTCTCCTGGATCTACAGGTCAGAGGGACTTCTGGTCAAGCCCGTAATTTCCCTGGGTCTCAGCTGTTGTGTTTCCTTCCCTTTGATCAAAAGCTTGGCTTAAGTTATTAACTACAAGGGAAAGAGATCAGAGTTCAGTTCTGCTATTTGGCACTAATGCAGCAGTTCTCCAAGGGAACAAAGTACTAACTCAGAGCAGTTAGCTTCATAATTCATTCTAGAAATCTCTTCCAGACTAAAATTCTGGCCTTTTACCAACCATCCGGTTCATTCAGCCTTCTCTTCTCCTATCAGAATTCTTAATGCAAACGGTGCCAGCAATTAAGTGTCGACACCATTCCTACAGATTCCTAGACATAAATTAGCACCGCAGGGGCAATTGGAGGGAGAAATTTGGACTGAATAGTAGTTTAGGATGAGCGCTTGAAGTCTTTTTCTTTGTCCTTGCTCTCTGTGTTCAACTCTCCCCCTAAAATTCTACCGTTGTGTATTTTAGAAGTAGAGAGGGATGGCAAAGTTTTGTTTAGCTTAGAGGCAGTTATTGGAAAAGCCAATTCTAAGACGTACAAAACAAAAAAGGGAAAGGAAAAGACCCTGAGTGTTTTCCAGGGTGGTTCTAAGTATTATGGAGCATGTTGTGGAAAAATTCTTAGCCATCTGCTAACGGATATTAGTAAAAGTGGAGACTGCGCTAAATAATAAAGTGTCGGGTTGTCCTTTACAGAAAGTTAATAAAAAGAAGGAAGTGAAAGACTGCTCATTATTTTTAATGACTGTGCTTTCCAGCAGAGTGCCTGTGTCTCCCTGCCTTTACTTTCTGCCTTCTTTCAGTTCATTATAACACACTAAACTACTCCTTAGAATGATAGCTTTGTTCCGAAGCTCGGAGTTTATTAAGAGGCTCTCAGTCCCAGGCTGACCGGTTGTTAATCACAGTTCCAGTGCCCAGGTGACGATGCAAAGGTGTGTCTGTGACACTGTCCACGGAGCAGTCACCAGCCATGACTGCCCTGGATTTCCTTCAGAGCAGGTCCACGTCGTCTCAGGGATCCAGCTCTTAAGTGCTTCATTGTACTTGGTGGGTGATGTAAGTTTTAGCCATCCATAAAAGTAACTGTTACCAGAAGAGTTCCTCTCATTTTGGTAAACCAGGAGAGAATATCATGTGGTTGGTAGTCTTGGTCTTTGAAAATTCCACATAGATGTAATATTCCTATCACACTTGCTGTTCTGGTTTTATTAGTTCCCCATACACCATTTGAATGTATGAACTTAATGCTGTACATTTAGAGTAAGTAGTTTTCTGTATTAACATCTTTGGCTATCAACGACCCGAGATCCCCCAGAGAAATTAGGGAAATGTGGATAATAAATTCAGTAATAGTGAGATAGAGAAAACAAGTAATCCTTTATTTAACGATGATGCCAAAAGAAGGTAAACTCTTTAATTTAGGCACATATGTGTTTCAAGAAGTAGTAGAGTATTGAAAGCCAACAAATATGAATGAAAATACTTACACAGAGAGAAGGGACGAAAATTCCAGCTCTAAACTCTATTATTAGGTTATACCTGCTGTCTTTGTTAGGTTTTTCTTTTTAAAAAGCCATGTTTCTCTTTCTAAATAAGGGCTAATTTGGCTGTGCTCTGGAAAGCCCTTTGAACTTTGTGTTCACAAGTCCTTGTGTTTTGAAAAAGAGATACGTGCTCCAGAGAGCGCCTGAGATGGGTAAGTGACACCAGGCCCTTGAGTGGGTGGGGTCGGAGCAGGAAATGTGGCAGCAGCATTTTCTCTGAACTGACTGGGATTTAGTCCCTTTGACATTCTTCAGGCAAAATAATCAGACATTTACTTATTTATATACTCAAGAATTGGAGTGACACTGCCTGATTTACTTGCGTTTCCATGTGAGCATATGTGTTTTTTAAACAAAATAAATGTGTCTTTTTGCCAAAAGTATTCAGGCACTGTATCCTTAAAAAAGACTTGCTAGAAATAAAGTATATGTTTATTCATTAGCTGTCAAGCACTTCTGGGCTTGGTACCCACACAAACATGCTGTTTAATGTGGAGTTTAATAACATTTATACAGAACTGAGCTGACTATCTTGGTGGAGAAAAATCCATACTGTCCATACTGACACAACATGATGTTTTGTTTGTCTCCATCCAGGAGAGGAGAAGTTTGACTAGGACTATCCAGCTTTATCTAAACACTGCCATGCTGTTGATGATGATGATGATGATGATGATGATAATAATAATAGTAATAATGCACTTTACTGTCATTCTAGAAATGAAGAATGAAGCCAGCCAGCCAATATGAAAGAAAAACGAACATATTATAGTTTTCTCCAAAGCCCAATAGAGATTTAGTCAGAGCTATTTTTACCTTCTCCCCAATGATTTAACTTTCTTGTCTCTTGACAACGATCTAGCGTTGTTTGATCTATGCAGTTTGAAAGAGACACCGTTGATAAGCCGCTGAGCAGAAAACGAATTAGGAAAGAAAGAGTTCATTGGATTGCTGGAAAAATAACAAAGTGAACAAAGGAAAGAAAGCAAATGTTCTGTTCTGTCATCGACCAGGCTTACACTGCATGGAGGGAGTTAACAGTCATTTCCCCAAGGCCAGGCCTGCTCTACTTGACTTGTTATTAGAGTCCGTAGGAAAATCATCAGACTTGGCTGGGACAACACGTTCTAAGAACTGGTGATGTGAGAGGAGTAGGGATGGTTCCATGGAACATGAGGAACGATAAGAGGCGACACCTGGGGTGAGAGGGCGAAGAAATAACATTTAGGAGCAGTTAAGTGTTAATCGCATTGATAGTTAAACTACTCTGTTAGGGGTTACAAATTGAGAAGTTGAACTGCATTTCTGTTTCAGGATGGTAGGCTTTCCTGAGTCTTGTGGGACAGGTCTATGATTTTCTAAGTGTGTACACACACCCCCATGTGTCATTGCATGTGTGCAAGAGAGACTGAAGAGAAGGAAGAATGGAGAAGAAAGCCGTTTCCATTGCATACATCTCTGCTTCGAATTGTAGCATTTAAACAGATAAAAAACTATTACCAGTAGATTGGGATACACTGTCGTCTTGAAAACTCAGTTTGCTCATTTATGGGAGGCAATACTAACCGACTCACAGCTTAGTTACAAGCATTGAGTAAGAGGATACGTGTAAAGCATACTTTAATATCTCTATAGGAACAAATAAACATTCCTTTTTCACCTCTCCACCCCAAGATCTATCCTGATAACCACCCCCTTTTGCAACCTATCTAGGACAGAACAAACAAGAAAATAATCCACAGTAAGCTACTGAATGCGAGAACTAAATGCTTATCCTACCTGTACCTGAATATATAATGAGGATTG